TCCGCAGGCTTTCGGGAGGCCCGCCCCCTTGCACTGATTGGGTAGGCTCCTCTTTTCCCCGCCCCCGAGGTTCTGGCTTCCTCGGTGATTGCACGGCGGCCGTGTCCATCCGCACCCTCAGGCCCCGCCCTCTCCTCCCCGCGCACCGAGACTCCCTCCGCCCGCGTTCTCCCCTCGCCCGGGATCCGCTCACCCATCCCCTTGGCCAGCGGGTATTGGGTGCACCTGACAGCGGCTCGAGCCTTATAGGGACAGGCGCCTCCTCCTGTTACAATCCCACCCACCGGGCCCCAGCTCTCGGACACCTCCCGGGCTTCACACTCCATCCCAGAGCTTCCCCCCACCTTTCCTCGTCCCCGATTCCTCCGCCCCTCCTTCCAGCCACGGTTCAGACGCCCGGGGCGCTCCGCCGGAACGGGCGACGTGCTAGGGGGATGCGCTCCATGAAGGCTCTGCAGAAGGCGCTGAGCAGGGCCGGCAGTCACTGCTGGAGGGGAGACTGGGGTCACCTGAGCCGGAGCCCCCTCCTGGGCGGGGGCGTCCGGCACCACCTCAGTGAGGCCGCGGCGCAGGGCAGGGAGACGCCGCACAGCCACCAGCCGCAGCACCAGGCTCAGTAAGGCTTGCGCGACGGGTAGGGCACCGGCTCCCACTCACTAGCTCCCAAGTCCCGTTCCTCGGGAGCGCAGCTCGTCTTCTTCCCTCACCTCTCTTCGCTCACTCGCCGGCGATGCCTTTTCCTTTAGATTTGGGGTTTTGGGTCCGCCGCGCTCGGGCAGTAAAATGCCGTCCGCCTGGGAGAGCGTTTGGTCAGGTCGGTCCTCGGGATGGTGCCTGTCCCAGGTGCGTACCTCGCCGGGAACCTGGATGCGCGGCGTGTTTCTCGGTGCACGTGTCTGAGTGCGGGGCTGTGTGCTCACCACCCAGCCGCATCCTCCCTCTCCTCCTCGCGGGTATCTTAGGGGGTGCGTGGGGACGCGACAGCCTCCCTACTGAGTCCTGCTGTACTGGGGTCTGTCGGTGTGTGTGTGTGGGGGGGTCTGTCGGTGTGGGGGATCTGTCAGTGTGGGGGGTCTGTGTCTCGGCGCATTCTCGGCGTGTAATGTGATGCGCGTGTATTATTGGTGCGCAAGTACGTTGGTGCGTGTGTTGTTTGCGTAAGTGTTGGGTGTGTGCATTGCCAGGGCTCCCTAATCTGTGAATAAGGGTGTTTTTCCAATTGGTTGTTGAATGGGGAAAATCTTTATCATAGTGGCGGGATGGGAGGGGGGCATAAAACGCAGATTTCTGAAACTAGAGCCCATCAGATCTGTTATCTGTGCTTCCCTGGCTTACTGATCTAAAGGGCTCTCGCTCGCTCTCTCCCCTGGGGCTCTTATTGTGCCCTAACCCCCAATACCCAGGAACACTTGGTGGCTGAGCCTCTTTCCTCTGAGACACAGACAGAGGCAGGACAGGAAGTACTGCCCTCCCCAGAAGTGAATGTAGACGCTGCCCAAGTCGCCCCTGCTCTATTATAGCAGGAGCAGGAAACGGACCATCTCCCCTGGCATTGACATCTACTGATGACTTTCAGAAAGATGTGCACACCGTAATTAAAGTAGCCAGACACATAGCACTACCTCACTGCCACTGGAATCCCTGCTCTGACCAATATGGTATTATTTATGTGTTTATTATTAATAATTATTATGCTGTACTTTTCCATCGGCCTCTTCTCAAGGAGACATGGAACATATCAACTTTAAAGAATAAGCCCTCTCTCTCCTGATCTACTCCCCCACTCAACTTTCCCCAAATAATTGCCCTGGGAGAAATGACGGTGGGATAGAGCCAAGGCTTAACCTCCTTCACCCTCACACTTTCTGTGGGATGGGGAGCAAGAGGTGTCCCTGGTCCCTGCCCCCTTTCCTTACCCAGTGAGTCAGGTGGATCAGGGTGTTTTTAGAAGGCTTGATCCCCCTGCCAAGGCTGCCTGTGCTCCCAGGGACTCTCGTTAATGGCCTTGGACTGATGCTCCCTTGGGCAGAAGGAGCTGAGAGCACTAAAGGGGGAGGGGTTCTTGTGTTGGGGGGAAAGGGGGAGTAAAGAGAAAATACCATTATTCAGGTTATTGTTTGTTTGTTTTTTAATATTTAGCTTTATTGTTTTTATTATAAAAGAAAAACAAGATAAATAGAACATCAAGAAAAAAATTAAGTTTCCAATTAATTTTGTGATATATATCCATACATATCCTATCCTATATATGTATATATAAAATTTAACAAAAATAGGGCCTTGGCATTCATATTATTTAGTAATCTATCTTTTCCATTTAAACAGCTTTCAATATCATTGAATATGTGTATATATTGTTATTTTAATGGCTGCCATTTTGCCATTTTAAGATTCCATTGTATGAAGTATCATAATTTAACCAATTTTCAGTTTAGTTACTACATATTCTTGTGCACTTGTTCAATTATTTCTTAGAATAAATTGCTAGAAGAGTTTGCTCTCCAGAGATTGATATCTTGTATAATCTTCTAAAGTTATTTTTTGCATATATCAGCAGATACATGTTAATATTATTTTCCCTTTTTTATGCAAATGGTGTCATAATATATACATTGTTCTACATTTTGCTTTCCCCCCTCAACATTATGTTGTAGATCAATCCATTTCTAGGTCAAAGGGTGTGCAATTTTGTTTGTTTGTTTTGGTTTGTTTTGTTAGTCCTTACCTGAGGACATTCTTCCCATCATTTCTTTCAGAGAGTAGAAGGAAGGGGGGGGGGGGGGGGGGGGAGAGAGAGAGAGAGAGAGAGAGAGAGAGAGACGTCTATGTGAGAGAGACACATGGACTGCATGAGCCCCAACTGACCAGGGGGCAGGGAGCAAACCCAAACCGAGGTACGTGCCCTTGACGGGAATTGAACTCGAAATCCTTCAGTGCGCAAGCCGATGCTCGAACCACTGAGATACCGACCAGGGCAAGAGTGTGCAATTTATTTAAGGCTTGAGACACATTCAGTAGGATGGCATTATTTCCTGTCTTCCTTCAGCTTCGGGCAGAAAGACCTGCCCTCGAAGTGTTCCTGTGTATCTTCCTTCTTGAGCTATTCCTAAGATATCTTTTTCCTCCCTTCCTCTGTCACCACATGTATCCTCACTTCCCTATAGGCACTATGTTTATTGTGACAATTGGATTTCCTCAGAAACAGGAAAACTTCCCCCTCTCTTAGTATTTCTCCTAGAACAAAACACATATACACATGCCTAGTCTATGCCAAGCTTCTTGATTTTTAATATTGTTTTATTTTTAATGCATTGTTTCAACAGAGAATATATTCATATTCGCATATATCCTATTCAATAGATAACATGCATATTCATATAGCTAACAATTCAAAATTTACAAAAAGATATATAGTGGGAAATATCCCTCCCACCCCTTTTGCCAGCACCTGCTTCATCTAGGGAGAGATAAATCAGTCTTCCAGAAATATTTTGTGCCTGAAAAAGCAAATATATATACTTTTCTCTTTTAAACATAAATAGTACCATACTAAAAATAATGTTTTATAGCTTGCTTCCTTTAGTTACTATTACATCATATTAAGTCAATATTTATGCATGCCCTCATTAATTTTTTATTGATTTTAGAGAGGTAGGGGGAGAGAGAGAAAGACATCAATTTGTCGTTCCACTTATTTATGCATTCACTGATTGATTCTTGTATGTGGCCTGAGCTGGGATCAAACCTGCAGCCATGGTGTATCAGAACGACTGAGCTACCTGGCCAGGGCTCTTTTTTTTTTTTAACACTGCACAATAGTCCATGATATAAGTACACTATAGTTTACCTATCCAGTTCCCTATTGATACACATGTAGGTTGTTTTAGTCTTACCTATCAGCAACAATGCAGTGAATATGTTACTTTGTAGGTATGTGAGTACACCTACAGGATAAATGCTGGATAAATTGTTGGGTCAGAGGGTTTTTAAGGGTCTTAATCTCAAATTGCTGTCATATTTGGAATGATCTGATAAAATAATTCCTCTAAATCTGTTAACATATTAATAACATTTCTTGAAGACCAAGAAATCTTCAGTACCTGGAATCTTAAGTGTTATAAGCCAGCTAGAGAGATAATTTGGGGAACAGAGAACTTCCTACAAGTGTAACTAGGTGATTCTTTTTGAAGACCCACTGTGTGCTAGGGACTTTGCTCAATGCTAGGAAAACAAAAATATGTAAAACACAAAGACCTAACAGTGGAACAAGAGAAATTCTTCTGTCAATAAGATGATGTGTTGTGTCATACCAGCAGTATAGCGGCATCTGGAGGTTGGGGAAGCCTTTAAAGAGTTAGTAACATTTGATTTGGACCTTGAAGGATGAGCAGGACTGTGCAACATGAAGGATAAAGAGGTTATTCCATGCAGAAATTTTAGCATAAGCAAAGGCCAGGAAGCCTGACAATACCTGGCCCATTTGG